CTCTGTAAATACAGAATCCGTCCTTGTCGTGTAGTGTTTATTGTACCTGGATTTTATCGGCATTATCCAGGGCCTGTGAGGCACATGGGCCCATATTTGTTTAAAGAAAAGTCTATGTATATTCTATATTCATTTATAAAAAGGAACCACAGCTATAGCTGGATGTCTAGCAGCTGAATTACATTTCTGAAGCACCAACTCTGAATCTGAAATTATACTCTATCCTTAGCAAACTTAATTAGTTGATTAAATCACCAAAAATAAGAGGCTGGGGACTTAGCCCAGGGGCTTAAGTGCCTGCCTTGCAAGCAGGCGGTCATGAGTTCTATCCCGGGTACTGATAAAAAATAAATAAATAAATAAATAAATCACCAAAAATAGTAAATTTGACTTGGTTTTATTAAAAGGGGGGGCATGCAGTATGGGATATACACCTTCATCTATTTACCACCAACATTTCTCATTCCCTCCTTTGTGACCTTCAAACAATGCTGACAAGCAAGCCATTCATAAGATAAGCTGGTCTCACTCTGGCCCTGTGCAGGCCACAAGAGAACCACATCAGCCCGCATTTGTGCTCACTGATGACCAAAGCAATAGGCCACAAAGCTAACCACTGTTTTGGAAGCCTGTCAATCAGAACCTATGCTAATGCCACATTTTCTAGATTAGTCAGATCAACAATTAAAGGGAAACTGTTAAAAACACAGATGTCACACGGGCCAGGCTCAACATTACGACTTTCCTGTCTCAGCCTCCCAGAGTGCTACAATTACAGCCCTGCACCGCCGCGCCCAGTTTAAACTTCCCTGTTTTGCAATATCTCATCTCCATGTTAAAAAAAAGGTGGAGAATATTATTCATCCTTAAGAAGCGATGAAATTCTGATACACATAACACTGGAGAACCTTGAAGATACTGTGCTAAGTAAAATAAGCCAGACCCAAAAGGACAAATGCTGTGTGACTCCACTTATATGAGGAACCCAGAGGAGCCACTTTCGCAGACACAGAAAGCAGAGTGGTTACGGGCTGGGAAGAGGGTAATGGAGAGCTCTGCTTCATGGGCGTACAGTTTTAGCTTGATGAAAAATTCTAGAGATGGTTGGGGCGACAGCTGCACATGGATATGAATATGTTTAATTTCTGCCGAGCTGTGTACTAAGTAGTAGTTAAAACGGTAAGTGTGACGTGTATATGTGTTACAGAAAAAGTCACAGGTTCATGTTCACGACATGTACACTTGAAACGCATTTGCCATCTATCATCCACCTAATAAGAGCATAATAAGTGTGCACATGGGACGAAACACACAAATGAAAAACAGGTTGGGGTAGCGATAGGAAAATTAGGTCAAAAGAAGAGCGCGAGGTCATTTGTCCTGATTTCCAGTTTGCAGTGATCGCTGTGGTGTTTCCTACATGCCTGTGTTTATGTGCAGTGGTTTGGGTGTGGCCAGGGTCCAAGAGCTTCACAGGACACCCCTACCAGCTCATTCCTCAGGGGTACAATTCTCTCTCGGCTGTTACAAATGCCTGCAGAGCAGGAGACATGTTCCCTCTCCCCACAACACTCAGTGGGAGTTGGAGAAACTGATTTTCATTCCATTAGAGATAAACATGTTTAGGAGGATTTTTCTTGTACCAAAATTAATCTGTAAAGGATTATTCATTATGCAAATTTCAGAATTACCATGATTAGAAAACATGAGTTGAAAGAGGTCTTTACAGAGTCTTAGGGAAGATTACTATTATTATTACTTCTGCGATGATAAATTACTTGACCGAAAATACATCTCCTGAATGTTAAAAGTAAAGTAGATGTAGAATGTGTGTCATTCCTGGGTGACCAGTCTATGTTCTAGCATTCTATTTATTGCTCCACTTTGTAAATGCAAATTTTTGTGTTTTTACAAATACTTGCAAAATGAATAGACTCAAATATAATATTTGCCTTTGAAGGAACACAAAAGAATATTTATAGTATCTTTTTATTTGAAAAGCTTGAAGTACTAAAAAAGTTATAAGTGGCTCATTAAAGCCATAGTAATATATAAACATACTAAATGTTTTTGCTCTCTTGCTGATTCTGCAACTATAAATAAATGTTTAAACTGATTGATTTTCTTGATCTGATTAACTTTTCTTATTCTTTGCTACTCATGAGTCTTATAATCAGTCATATTTTAAAAGCAGACCCCTAATTATTTCCTCTCAAAAAAGGCAAGAAAGGAAAAATGCAATGTAAGGAGAAGGAAGAAAAAAAATAAATTCCAGAACTTTTCATTGTGGTAGTTAATCTCAATGAATTAGATGTTTAATACTCTATTTTGCTAATTCATTTTTACATATAATTGACTTTTTATGGCCAAGTAAAGTTTCCTTTTGTTTTTTGGATGGGTTGGGGAATCATTTTAGTAAAAGTTACAAATCAGTTACTCATATTTGCATGTTTACTGCTCCTATATTTAATCAGCACACAAGTGGTAACAAACAAATCTGTTACGTTAAAGAAATTAGCTGGTACATATTTTCCTGTGGGTGACCGTTCACAGTCATCTGTATTAAATATCCAGCATGAAAATGCTCCTGTAACATGAAGAAATTAACTTGAATTAAAACTGCATACAATATAAAAGAATTATCAAATATGCAAAAATATGTTTACAAAATTCACTCACCAGCAGCTTGACTACAAAAGGACATCAGAGTTTGAGATTTCCTAAGTGACATCACTGATTAATAAAACCCAGCTTTCACTTAAGAACATTTGGTGTACTGGACTCACATTATGTCGGCTGCCCATCCCATCTCTCTTTCCAGGTCTTGGGGAGGGCTCACCTTTGAAGCTTTCCTCATCTGTGCCTACTGTACGTGTCTCCTTTGCATTGAATTTGATCAGGGAAAGATCATGTAGCAACCTGGGAATCTTTATAACCCAGTTATCCCCGCCTATCCTGCACTGGCTAACTAGCCTGGGTCATTTTAAAAGCCATTCAAATTTGGGAACCACTCAATTAATCATGGGATATGGGAAGCAAAACTTTTATCTCCATTTCTACATAGAGTTTTTATGAGCTCCATTACAAGATCCAAAGTATTTTAACCAGGACCTTTATAAAGTCTCTCACCAGGAAAAAGTTTTCATATACGCCATCTCTACCTCTAAAAACGAAGATGTTTGTTTTTTACACATTGCTTTTTATAATGTAATTATCTTTGAGGCAATTTCTGTGTAACATGAAATAGCACAAGACATTTTCTAATTGTTTTTGAGATAGAAATAAAAGAGGAACCACCTATATAATGAATTACCTTTATGACTGCTGTTGCTCAGGCCTTCTATGCCCAATAGAGAATTACGTTAGCTACCACAAGCAAGGCTGTAATTTAGATCTATAATAAGATATTTCACATCAAAGGGCGAGTCTAAGCTATAATTTCCAAGCAAGCAGTGGTTTCATTCAAAAGCTGAAGAAGTGGTAATTTAGTCTATGCAAAAACTAGTGCAACTAACTTTAACAGTAATAAAAATATTCCCGAGAATATTTAAAAATAAAGTCCGTTCTAAACAGCAAACAAGTCTCTGCAAGGGAAAAAAAAAAAGAATCTGTGAACTGTTGCAGCTTTTCTCCTTGCAGTCCCTATTTTAAGAGCTCAGAATGAGAGCACTCAGCTAATTCAGTCAGTAGTAAGTAGTTCGGAGGGTTATTTTCATCACTGGACTACTAAAAGCCTGAAACACATCGGCCTCAAAGCTAGGGGTGAAGGAGAGCAGGCCTGGGCTGCACCTGGGGTCTGGGCCCCCATCAGGACCCCTTCTGCACCAAGCGCAAAGCTGTTTATCAAACGCCTTAAGGCTCGCTCTGACATTGCAAATCTCCCAAATACACACTGAGATTGTTTACATTGGTTTTTTTTTTTTCTTTCTTTTATGGGAGCACCAAGTCATTGAGGGATTTTCTTCCATGCTTTCCCAATCCCCAACGCAATTCAGCCAAACCCAGTTTAAGCAGTTTTTCCATCCACACCCAAGAACCATGCACCTCTCCCCAAACCTCCCCCAGAAAACCAAAAGCAAGGACGTGGCGATTTTTCTAACTGCGTCGGGTCCAGTCTGTTAACAAGGAGGTCGCTAGAGGCAGGCGGCAGCCCCCGACCCGAGACGCCTCTCTCAGAGGTCAGGGCCGGCGGGGACCCCGGGCCAGCGGACCCCGCTCTGCAGCCCTCAGCGCGGCGCGTCCCGCCCGGCTGTGCCGCTGCGCGCGCTTCTCAGCCGCGGGCGGCTGCTCCCCGCCCACCGCGTTTCCCCGCGGCCGAGCCCGGCGGGCCTCCCGGGCCGGGACGCCGAGGCAGGCGGGCCTCTCTCCGCACTCACCCACCCTGGCTCCGGGGCGGCGGCGGCCGGGTCCGAGGTCGGGAAGCCGAGGCCGGCTGCAGCTGGGGCGCGGGCGGAAGCGGCGGGCGCGGAGCGGGGCGCGGAGCGGGGGTCACGGCGCCACGCGCCGCCTCCTGGGGGCCCGGGGCGCGCTGGGGACCGGCGGCCGCGACGTCACAGCGAGCCTGGTGACTCAGCGCGGGCGCCGGGCCGCTCCGCCGCCGGGTCGGTGCTTCCTGGGGCCGCCCACAGGTCCCCTCCCAGACCTCCGGGCCGGGCCGGAGGGCGGCGGGAGGCCCTGGCGCGGGGCTCTGCCGGGGCGGCGAGGTTGGGGGCGCGCGTGGAGCCGCAGCCGGAGCCCTGCGCCCCGGGGCCGCGCGGGGGCTCACCTGGCCCGACCCCACCTGGGGCTCCGTGCAGCCGCCGCGGGGCGCGAGTGGGGGGCAGTGGGGAGCGGGCGTGGCACCCGGTGCGGCGGGGCGCGCGCTGCCGGGCCCAGCAGGCCGGGGCGCTCGGCGGCGTCCTCGGCGCTGCCCCACTTTTATTCCACGGCCGGGAGGGACGGCACTGTCGCAGACCAGAGTGGGCGCAGGGGCCCGGCCCTGCCCGCCCGGTGCCGCCCACCTGCAGCTCCTCCGGTGGCCGCAGCCGGGAAGCTTGCCCGCGCTTTTCTCCGGCGGTTTCCCCGGCCCCTCGGAGGGACCCTGCGGCCAGGGCCCCGTGGCGGGCCGGAGAGCGAGCTGGCAGCGTGCGTGCGCTCAGCCCCGGCTCTGAGCTCCGCTCTCGGCCTGCTCCCCTCCGAGTCCCCCTTCCCCACCCTCCCGAGCTGCTGCTGCCGCCGCCTGCTCTACCGCCCCGTCCTGGGGCCTGTGATGGCAAACCCGAGTCATCACTTGAGGATGATGTTCAGAAGCACGGAGATTAATCAATTCCAGAATTGCTCAGCAAGGGAAAGAATTTGCCTTTGGGGAGCAAGGAATTTGGAGAGGCCAAGAGGGCCAAGAATCTCGGCCCTGTCTCCTTCGAGGTCCTGCACCGAACAGCTCAGTGGGTGCCTTGCGTGCCTATTAAAGCCTTCTAACTCTCTCTCGCCACTCTGGTAATCAAAAGCGAACTCCTGGGCTTGGCAGTCAAGGCCCACTGCTACGCACCCTGTGCGAACTCCACCCTTCACACCTTGCACCCCATTTTAAACCACCTCATCTTCTTTCCTAAAACCGATTTCCTGTCTCTGCAGTTATCAAGTTTGCCTGGAATATTGTCTTACTGCTGTACTAACTCTTAATGGCACTGGGCCATGCGTGCTTTACATGTTTATAGCTCTTAATTCTTACTGAAGTGCTCGGGTGGGCGTTACTGTTGTCTTCACTGCAAGAGCATGAGAACAGACTCAGAGAAATTAAGTAGTTTACTCAGATATGGAGTGTTCGGTGAGGCTAAATTTGAACCCAGCAATTTGACGACAAGATTCATGTAATATTACCTATTCATCCTCTTAAAACCTTTCTCAGATCCTAAATGTGAGCAGGATTAAAATAGCACAAACTACAGGGAAATTCACCATAGTGTATTTCTTAATGGCCAAGGGAGAAACCAAATTAAGCCTCGGAGAATATTTACACAGCAGTTACAGCCAGATCCAAAGAGCCAAGTGTTTACAAAGGTTTGAGGTTTTAAAATGTTGTAGGATGGTAAGTATAGTATTTATGATTTATGAAGTGTAAGATGTACTTCCTCAGAGTATGCTATGATCAAATACAACATAACCGTATGTGCAGCTGTGCATAGAGAAAGACCTGAGAAGAGAGAAATACCCTACGATGTTTATCTGGTCTAAGGGTAAGGAGTGGGATGAGGTTTTAGTACACTACGTGGTTCTTTGTTGAATTTTTGTGTTTGTTGTCATGAATTTTCCAATAAGCAAAAATATAAGAAACTTGGCTTGTGTGACGATAAAGCATCTCAGTGGTCAGTCTGAGAAAATCTTCCCTGAATCCACTTCTCCAGATGGAGCTGACTGCTGTCTCTTCAGTGGGTCTGTAACCAGCACACATAATAGAGTTTTAAATATTAGGTTATTTTTTCTTTTAGAAATGAACCACTTCTCCAAATGTTCTCCTGCTGAGCTCACAACCAACACTTCCTCCAGATAAACAAGAAAGATTATAAGATTATGCAGCTCCTGGCCCCGGGAGGGACAGGAGGAAACAGCCAACAGCCAGCATCACTGTGCCTCTCTCCCTCTGTCCCTTGCCGGGAAAGACCCTTCTGTACCTGGGTGAAGCCAGATGGTGATTTGGGACAAACAAATGGGGCCTCTGTCTCCTCTCCTCAGACCTAGCTTTGAATGAATCCTTTTTACTTTTTTACTAAAAATAAACAGCCTCCTTTGGTTTGGGCAGCAGCAAGCAAATGGGCCTCCAGTACATGGACCTGAGGGACCGGTAGTTTCTTGTTACATAGCCGTCTTGTGTGGTGTGGTCAATCTAGTCAAGCTTTCATTTGTTACTGAGCATCAGAGGTCCCCATAATTTGCTGGTAGAATTCTCCACTTGCTCTCCCCTGGGTCTATCTGCCCCATAGCTCATCTGCCAGGCTTCAAAGGTGGAACTTTCTTCATTGGGAACTATTCCTTTGGGGCCCATGTGACCAGAGGGAGACCCCAGTGAGAGACACCTCAATGGCCTTCTCCCCACGCCTTCCAGTGGGGCTCTGACAGTGGCTGTGAACTTCTCAGGCTCCTGCAAGAGGAGTATCAGCGGGGCTCTGCCTCCAAGGTTCCCACCATGATTCCCTCAGGCCTGGCCTCGGGACAGGTCTTACAGTTTCAAGTGCCCACGGACCTTTTAGTCTCTTGTTTCCTTTCACCAAAGCTTAAACCTAGCCCCAGTTTCCGTAAATAGTCTCCTCCATAAAACTTAGGCTGCCACATCTGAGTGGAAGTTGGCTCCTGTGTGACAGACTGGTGCATACGAGGGAACACTGTTGATCATCACAGAACACAAATCTTTTATTCCTTATTGCAACCAGCCCTGAAAATTCTCAGTATTTACTTCTGGGCTTTTGACTGTTTGCTAGGTAATTATAGAATGATTTATATGTTTCCTCAGCAGGAATTTCAATTACCATTGTGACGGCAGTGCTTGGGAATGTAACCCTCTATCATTCTCCACTTCCCCGGAAGGTTGGTTTTGTTTTTTAAAAGTAACCATTTTTGTATTGATGAAATCGTCTAGTATGGTATATTGGTATTCAAATTTTGATGTTTTCAGTAGCGTCTTTAAGAGATGGTTTATACATAGAATCTAACATGTAGATTAAAGTCAAATTGTTAGTCTTAGAGACAGGGTTAGGGAAACCTTCCAACTTTTGAAGCTGACTTGAGACACCCCTAAAGAATGCAAGAGCTCTTTATAACACAGTTTGAAAACAGATTTGGAGAGGCCTAGGTGTTAGAAGATGCATTCTTCATAAAGGATCATCAGGTTAGGTGCGGAGAATTACATTGTCGGGAAGTGATTTTTCCATTTGCTCTTGAACGTGTTCCCTAACTTGTTAATGCATCTACCATGAAGTGCACCACACACACACACACACACACACACACACACACATGCATTCACACACACACACAGACACGCACACCTCTAAATTTCTCATGTTAGTTTTAGTGCATTTTTGTTATGTCTACTGGCTGTTTATATTTCCCTCCTTTGTCCTGTGTTTTCAGTTGCCTTCTCACAGTTGACCATTTCTGTCTTCACTCTGTACATATTGATCCCTTAGATAATATTCTGGGCCTGATTCTAATGGATAAGAATGCCAAAGAGACAGTCGTACTTCCTCTTTCGTAGAACTCACAGACTAGTGATAATATAATCTTTTAAAATTCTTTTTAACAGTGTAGCAAATTTGGCAACCTTTTGTCCCATTTGTTGCAAATAATTGGTTTAGTTGGCTCTTTAATTTTTACATAGTAATTTTATTAGAAAATGTTAAAAGTAATACAGTCAGTAATACTTGCCTATATTCCCAGCTGTTCGGGAGACTGGGGTGGAAGAATCATTTGAGCCTAGAAAATCCCTCCTGAGCCAAAGTTCAGATCAATATTCATCTATAATTCCTATGATATTTTTACTATTTGATTTCTAAAGCATAAGTTTTTAATAACTTGTAAATTACTTTGAGAAGCTCTGAACTGAGCCGTTGACCCAGTAGTCAGCCACTTGTCCTGACATTACTGGTTAAACCTTGCTTTTTCATTGATCTGCAGTGTATCATGCATTATGTCCTTTTATGCATATCCTAGGCTAGACCGTATTTGTGGATCCTCTGTTTTATTTCCTTCATCGCCTAAAGGTGGGAAACAAGGCATAAAGATAGGAAGAAAGGAGACAAGGCAAATTGTAATTTTATAGTCATACTTCTAAGAAAAACTGCAAGCCAGGGATGGTGCTGAATGGCTGTAATCCCAGCACTTGGGAGACTGAGGCAGGAGGGTTGCCTCGTGTTCAAGGCCAGCTTGGGCTACATAGTAGTCCAGGTCAGCCTGAACTGCATAGTGAGACCCTGTCTCAAAAAACCAAAACAAAGCAATACCTGCAGCTTCAGAACACAAGAGTTACTCAGTACTCTCCCTTTCTGGGAAGCTCACACAGAAAGCCTAAAATCAGACCAGCCTCTGCAAATTGCACTCTCGTTCAAGAATTGCAACCTCAGAAAGATGGGTTATTAAGCAAGCAGCGCATCTCAGCATCAAGCACACGTACACAATTTGTGTTCTAACATAGCTCACCTTATGGGCAGTTCATAGACTGTGAAAACACATGCCAGGATCATAGGCACCTTGAGGTCATGCACACACCCAGCTCCGACCCCAGGGCACCTCTCTCTCCGGGGCCTGAGCTCTGCTTTTAAGATTCTACATAATAAACCTCCTTAGGGCTCTTTCTGATGTGTCTTGAAAATTCTTTTTCAGTGACAGTTGTCTGAAATCTATAGATTATTCCATGGGTGTGGCAAGTCAAATTTCCCCAACTCTGCTTCGGGGTACCCTGTCCCGTGATACCTCTTTAAATTATAGGACCAGTGGCATAGCTTTTCAATCATAGTAAGGTAATTCTGTGGTAAAATTCACTTTTCTAAAATATTATTAATATTTATATTGTTAGAGGGGAGTTATCTGCTATTTTAAGTAACATTTTATGGTTATAAAATTATTGTGGGAAAAAAGTTTGCCGAATCTTTGAAAAACATAAAGGAAAGAAATAGCACATCTTATAGAGCATAATTACAACCCTTGAGGATGTAACTTTCTAGTTTTCTGTGTGTGTGTGTGTGTGTGTTGTGTGTGTTTTGGTTTTACAAGTACTATTAAGCATCTTGTTCTGTAAACTGTTCTGCAGTCATCATAGGTGAGCAATGTGCCGTGTCGTTAAAGGTGCCACTGAAACATAATTTTCAGCAGGATATTAGCCAAGTTCTCTAGAATGAGGGTCAACAGCTGCAGTGTGAGAAGCAACTCGAAGCCTTTCTCAACCCCATTATAACCTTTACTCAATAGTATTGATCACGGCAAACTAGAATTGAGCTCAACGAATCACATAGATCAACAATGTCTTCTCCCACTGCCAAAACCCACAGCTCAGGGCCAGTTGCCAAAAACTAGAAACTGTTTATGACTAAAAGATCCCTGGACTGTGCCAAGTGGCTCTCCTGACAGGCAGATGGGAAATGGCTCTGCGGGGGTCACAGC